CCCAACTCAGAAAGACCCACTATTGCTCCCTAAGGGGACTTGAACCCTCCAATCCAATGTGGGAGGAGGAGAAACCACTTGACGCTAAAGTCGTTGCATTTTCTTTTCTCTGTTTTATTTTTGAAAAGAAATTTCTGAAGGGAACCACTATTGTTTTCTTTTCAAATTTTTGCAAAAAAATATATGTTGCAACGGACTAAATTTCTTCTGAAACAAACAGAGGCTTAGAGCCTTAGGGCAAAAAATTGCATTGTCTTTTCTTTTTAGCCTTTCTATATCAAATTCTAAATGAATGATTGAACATCAATTCATAGAAACTACAGAATTTATAAGTTGTAAGCTGCAATCTTTTAGTGTGTGATATTTCAATATGAAACTGGCAATATAAGAATTCCTTCAAGTTCTTCTCATAACATGCATCTAACTTATATTAAATAAACCAAACAAATATTCAAAACCTTTTAAATGTGGCAGTTAGAACACTTTCAGTAACAGGCAAACAATAAAAAGAGAATCTGAAAACTGAATGTAAACCAACAAAATCAAGGTTGAAACTACAAACAGCTGAGAGAGAGAGAGAGAGAGAGCACCTGGTTTTCCATTAGCTTACCTGATATGTAGCCTTTATTTGAAAATGATATATTAAACGAATGGTCTCACTACATATATGCTTTTCCTCTAGTTTCATAATCATTTGTTGATTCGGAGTTCTCACTGAGAGAAGGTGTGTGGTCTTTGTTTTTCTCTCAATTTATTTTATTTCTACAGTGTTCCATCCATCTACTCTCGCCACGGTAGATTCCTCCAAAATGCCATGAGAACTAAACAAAAAGAAAAAAGGAAAAAAAAAAAAAAAATTATAAGGGAAAAAAAAAAAATCACAGTTCTTGTTACAGGCTAGTTCGTTGTGCGTGCATGTGTGTGTGTGTGTGTGTGTTACTCGGGTAAGGTTAATTGCAATTTTATGCACATATAAACCAAATTGTTCCTCATCATAATTAGAATGAGTGCATAAGTAAATCATAATTTTGTTGTACCGATCCATGTTTACTTTATTTATTATGATTTATTACTTGCTGGGAGATGTTAAACTAAGACATTTTTTTTTTTTTTTTTTTTTTTTGATAAGTAAAAATGTATTAGAAAGCGTTCAAAAGGGGAACACGTCCCAAGAGCTGTACAAAAAACCAAAAAAAAAAAAAAGAGATAGGGGGAGTCCTATGGACCCAAAGAACCCAAAAAGTTCACGATTTCATCTAAAGATATACAATTTCTCCCCGTAACCCAACAAAATAGAGAACAAATAATAAAAAACTTCACCGCCCCAATGGAGAATTCCTTCTCATCAAAAGATCTTTTATTCCACTCTTTCCAAAGGCTCCACCAAACACAAAGGGGGGTCACCCTCCAATAATCGCGAACATGAGCCCCCACCCTTTGGCCTCTCCAAATGTCAATCAAATCCCTTAAGGTCCGGGGCATAACCCACTGGATGCCAAAAAGACCCAAAATACAACTCCAGCAGCTATGAGCCGCGGGACAATGCAAAAGAAGGTGATCTATAGACTCTCCATCATTCTTGCACAGACAACACCGGTTGACAATGATTTGTCTTCTCTTTCTCAAATTGTCCAGAGTCAAAATCCTACCCCAAGCTGCTGTACAAACAAAAAAGGCCACCCTAAGAGGAGCCTTCGAATGCCAAATCGTTTTCCATAGGAAATTGGTACTGTGAAACCCGGAGAGGCAGAGAAAGAAGAACCGGACCTGAGAAGTCCCCTGCGAAGAAGGCACCCAAGTCAAAGAATCCGAACCAGTACCATCCACTTCCTGTCTATACAAAAGGTCCAGCAAGCCAGTGACGTCATCCAACTCCCAACCCTGAAAGGATAGCCGGAACCACACATCCTAAGACAACCTACCGCTATCGAGTCGATAGCAGTCAGCAACCAAAGCATGTCTATCAACAGTAATCCTGAACAACCTTGGGAACAAACAGGACAATAAATGATCCTCGCACCAAGTATCCTCCCAAAACTGGACGTCCCTTCCCTCCCGAACTCTGAATCTAATATGCTTAGAGAACTCATCCCAACCCTTCCAAATGGATTTCCACACCCCTACGCCGACAGCAGATCTGACCGACCTAGATGACCATCCCCCTCTCTCCTCCCCAAAACGACATGAAACAACCTTCCTCCATAACCTATGTCTTTCACTGCCGAATCTCCATAACCACTTGCCTAAGAGCACTCTGTTGAAAGGGGCAATCTCCTAATCCCTAGACCTCCCAACTTAAAGGCCTGCAAACCTGCTCCCACCGGACAAGATGAAACTTAAACTCCTCCTCCCGTCCGCCCCATAGGAAGTTCCGTTGAAGCATCTCAAGTCTTCCACCAATAGAGGAGGGGATCTGGAAAAGCGAATGAAAATAAGTAGGAAGACTGAACAATGTACTCTTCACCAAAGTAACTTTTCCTCCCTTCGAAAGATATTGCTTTTTCACCAAGCCAACCTTCTCTCGAAACGCTCAATCACCGGGTCCCAACCACCCTCCTTGACGAGTCACCCAACGACAAGCCCAAGTAAGAAATAGGGAAGGAGCTCGTCTTACACCCTAAAACTGCTGCAAGAGAATCCACCTCCTGAACCTCCCCCAGTGGGACAAGCATACTCTTGCCCACATTGACTTTCAAACCTGAAACAGCCTGAAAGCAAACTAGGACACGTCTCAAATATCTCAATTGGGACACCTCTGCCTCACAGAAAACCAAAGTGTCATCCACAAAAAATAGGTGAAAGATCTCCATCTCCTGAGCTAAATCTGGACCAATCTTGAAGCCCCTGATAGAACCCAAATCCACAGCTCTTCTCATCAACCTACTAAGAGCCTCCATAACAATAATGAAAAGGAAATGGAAGAGAGGGTCCCCTTGCCTCAAACCGCGAGAATTGCCAAAAAACCCGGATGGAGACCTATTCACCAACACAGAAAATCTAACAAAGGAAACGCATGTTTCGATCCATCTCTTCCAACTCTCTCCAAAACCCATCCTCTCTAACAGATAAAACAAAAAATTCAAGCAAACATGATCATAGGCTTTCTCAATATCAAGCTTACACGAAACTCTAGGAACACCGCTACTAAGCCTATAATCCACACAGTCACTGGCAATGAGAGCGGAATCTAGGATCTGTCTACCCCCCATAAACGCATTTTGAGACTCAGAGATGACTCTGTCCAGAACCTCCCTCAATCTTAACGCAAGGACTTTAGCGATAAGCTTATACATACACCCAATCAAACTTATTGGTCTAAGGTCCTTAACGACAGAAGCACCACCCTTCTTAGGAATAAGAGCAATTAAAGATGTATTCAGCGAATTTTCGAACGTCCCATTAGAATGGAACTCGTGAAAAGTGCCCATAACCTCCTGTCTAACCACTTCCTAGCTCTCGAGTAAAAAAAATCTCATTGTGAAGCAATCCGTACCTGGAGCCTTGTCATCATTACAACTCTTCAAAGCCTTCAAAACCTCCTCCTCCGTAAAGGGACTCTCTAACCCATCCCTATCCACACCTAATATAAAATCAAAATGAAGAAACGATCCCCCTACGCACATCCTCCTCCATATTCAATACCGTTCCATCCACACACATCCGCCCGATATGATTGCCCCTCCTATGGGCATTAGCAGTTCTATAAAAAAACTTTGTATTACGGTCTCCCTCTTTGAGCCACAAGGCCCGAGATTTCTGTTGCTACGAAATTTCCTCCATAACCGCAATCTCAACACATTATGCCTGACAAGCTGCTCTCCTATTACGTTGGGACTCAACAATACCACCCACCCCTTCTAATCTATCAATCTCAGCAATGTCAGTGAGGAACCTATTCTTCCTCCACTCTTGATTACCGAGCACCTCCTTATTCCATCTTTTGAGTTTGTTTTTGAGGAGTCGAAGCTTTCTTGCTAAAATAAAAACCGATGTTCCCACCACCATGTCCTCCTCCCACCAAAACCGCACTTTTCCCTGAAAATCCACCGCTCTAAGCCACATGTTCTCAAATCTGAATGGAGTACAACGAGGTCTCAATCCTCCACAAATGACATATTATTTTTCCATCTTATGTGATTATAATCACCAGATCCAATTAAAAAGGAAGGGATGGGATGGAACAACATGGGTAGAATGGTTTGTACTTTGTAGTCTTTGGACCAATTCAGTTTTGGAATTTGACAACAGAAGAGGGTGCTATTTAATGTATTAAACTGGTTTAGACTATCCTTATTCAACTTCACTTTTTAACATATATTACTCTTTGCAACTTACTTGACCAGTCACTATGATTATCATTTGTGCAATATATTACTTTACTAGTCATGTTTGGCTTGAATATTGCTAATGATTGGATTACCCATCTCCTGAAGATACTGTCATAACTAGTAGCACTAATTTGTTGAAGAATTCTCATAACGTTAGAATCAAAATAGTTACAGTCCCTGTTATTTGTATTCCTAGCTAACACATGCAGAGCCACTCAACTTGGAATGGCAATTCCTACTAAATCTCCACACGGTAAAATAAATAAACAAATAACCCATAAAGAGTAGATATACAACGAAGCAAAACAAGAGCATCAACACATCTCACATTCTGAAAAATGGGCAAGAATAACTCATACCATCACATAAAACAAAATTTCACATCTAATTAAAAAAAAAAAATTTGGTAATTCGACACATTTCTGCAATTGTAAATATCCACAAAGACCAACCAACAATTTGGAACAATTAAACAAATCAACTAAATCATATGCACAAATTCACTTGGAACTTCTCTGCAAAAACTCCTATACTGTCGTGTTATATATAGTATTAGCATTCTTCTTCTTCCTTTTTTTTTTCTTTTTCTTTTTCTTTTTGTTGCTGAAGAAAGTTAGAACCAGTCCATTGGTGTGATATAAGTAACAATAACAGTGATGTCGTCAACTTTACCTCCCATGTATTCCATTCTTGCCTCTTGAGCAGCTATTTCGAATGGACTAGAACTTAATCTGTCGAAAGAACAACTATGAGCAAACCATGCTAGAGACCAAACTAATTGTTGTGGGGTGTAATCTTCTTCCACACCATGTTTCACCAATTCTTCAATTTCACTTGTATGCATATTGTCAAACAACCCATCACTTCCAGCAACAATGACATCTTCGAGTTTCACTGAAACGGTGAGCTCCTGTGGACCAAGTATTTATAATTAGTACCAAATCAAAATGTTAAAATTAAAAGAACTATATATGTTATATATGCAACTAGTATTCTAGTGATTGTCTTCTTCAAGGGACAATCCCAATTTGACCCAAGATTAATGTTGAGCCTAAATAACAATAGATTAATAATAGCATTAACCTGCGCCGAGACGGGGGAATCATTGTTTTTTCCAAGCTGAGGCTGATATGGACAGTTAAATCTATGTTGTTGCACTTGTGATTGGTATATAACTTCACCACCTCTTAGCAGCAAAAATCCACTATCTCCAATGTTAGCAGCATGCAAGTTCTGCAATAATTAAAAACAATGATTGCAAATTAATTTAAAAAATATCCTTTTGCCTTGAAGAATAAAAAGAAAGCATATGTATAACAAGCAAGGAGCAAAAGGATGGATGACATACATTGCCTGTGAGGGTTATAATGCAAGCAATGGAGGATCCTTTAAGCTTAGTTTTTTTAAGGAAGCTTCATTCAAGACACTCTTTGAATCGATAGGTCCTTCTGTTTGATCATAAATTGCTGTCACAGTATATTAGCCATTAATCGTCGCACATAGTTGCCCGCGTTCACACCCTTCTTGCTCCAACCACCAACGCCATCTGCAACTCCTATAGTTTTCTGCTCATAACAAATGAAATGAGCATCGTCTCCAGGTGCTTGGGTATGTAAAATGATCCAGCTTTTTCTTTTGTAAGCAATAACACTAAATAAGATAAATATAGAAAAGATTGAATTAGAAACTTGAGACATTCGGTTGGTTTAAAATAGAAAAAAGAAGGAGAGAAATCCGGTAGTGTTTTGGAAAATTAAAATATACCAAAATATCACTGATATGACTACTACATTCAAATTGAGTAAATAAGGGCATATCTTCTATTTGAATGATGAAAAACCTAAATTTTATTAAAGGTATTTTCAAATTATAGGCATTATATTCACAAACCAAATAACAGCCTTGTTTATTGCAGGGATTGTTTTTACAAATTGATAGATGATGGAAGATTAAGTTGCATACTTAAATTACACCGCACCGAATCATTTAAACCCTTTCAAGTTGAAGGGTTAAATCAATTTAATTGAATCAGGAGAGAAGGAGGGATCTTTGGCAAAATTGTAGATCGATAATAACAATTTTCGAGTATAGTGAAGGGGAAGGGAGTGTACCTTTGCGAAAGGTTGTATGGATGTAGTTCTTGAGCAGATTTTCTGTTCTTTCTTTTACTGTTGAGTCCGACGAAGAGGTTGCGTTCGGACGAAGAGGAGAGAAGACTCCGGCGCTTGCGTTTCGACCACGAGATGGGGTTCCTTATGCGATGAACACTAAATATGTGAGTAAAATTTTCCTAACCTCCATTAGATGTAGAGGCAAAAACGTTGGATATATTCCATTCAGCAAGTAATGGGATAATAGAAATTAAAATTAAATTAAATTATTTTTTTAAAATACCTGAATTAAATTTTTTTTTTTAATACCACTAACTTTAACTTCTATTCCTGAACGTAAAAAATAAACCCTATTTTAAAACAAAACTAACTTTTTAAAGACAAAAATACCCTTTAAATCTTTTTTCATTACCTTTCTTTTATCTCCTCCCTCAATCTATATATATATATATATATATATATTTTAGTGCCTTTATTTCTTTCTTTTTTATTTCAATTGTCGCCACTAGTTATTTTTTTCTCTATTTTCTTTATTTTTTTCTAAATTGTTATAAACTAGAAAAAAAAATAAAATAAAATAAAATAAAAGGGAGGACCGGAAAAAAGGCTATTGGCAACAATTTAGAAAGAAAAAAAAAAAAAAAGGAAATAAAGAAAAATATGAGGGAAAAAAATAACTAGCGACAATTGAAATAAAAAGGAAAGAAATAAAGACAGTAAAAATATGTATATATATTACACGTATGTAGATTGAGGGAGATACAAGAAAGATAATGAAAAATGATTTAAAAGGTAATTTTGTCTTTAAACGATTAGTTTTGTTTTAAAGTAACTTATATTTTTCACATTCCTTGATAATAGAGAAAGAGTAATTAATGAGACTTAAAGTAGTCAATGAAGAAAGCGACTGTGAAAGCATTCCTCTTTTTATAATTATAATTTTGGTTTCATATCTTAAAACAAAATTAAATTCGATAATTTACGAAGATAATTCCAATTCCATAAACTTCATTTTGAGTTAATTAATATAAAAATAATGGGGTTTTCTTTTTTTAAGGAACTTGCAATCGATTGCTACTCCCGGCGATCAATCGTACCTCCTGGCTAATAGCCTGTTTTATTCCCGTTTTCGCCCCATCTTCACCTACTAAATGGCTACGGGATTTAATTATTTTGGGGCTTATTTCTGACCTGTTTTGGGGTCCAAGGGGTTTGTAAAAAAGGGGAATTAAACCACTTTGTAAGAGTTAGCTAATTTTAGATATTCTTGGAAAGAGAAAGTTAGAGATACGTATTAGGGTTTTGAAGTGGAGGCAAATAAGATCTCTAGAAGAGCCATTTCTCTAAGGTTTCAAGCATCAAGACAAGGAAGAAGAAGATGAAGCAAGTCATGAAGATGGATATCGGAGCTACCTTAACCACATCTACACCTTCCATGAGTGGCTAAACTTCTTCTTAGGGGTTGGATGAGCCCTAAGCTTGGAATCTAAATCCTTATCTTTCATCTTTTTGAGGAATTAATGTTGCAATTGATGCTATAGCCTTGTGTATGTAATGAAATTTGGGTTTTCCTATGATTTCTATTGTTAAATTCTTCCTAATAATTTTTTATGTTGGTTGCATGTCTATGTGCATGTGATTAATTGAGGATTTGGTGATGGTTATGCATGGTGGTGCTCTCCCCTAGGTGTGCACAAAATAATGCACAACACCTTGAGTTTGGAAATTAGTGTCAAGTGGGCATCATAGTTAAATTTATAAACCGCTTAACACCTATACTATGTAGTATGAGTGAGAAGAGGTTGTCCCAAGGGATTGGAGTCGTACTTGAATATGAAAATGCAACTAGGGTCAGTAGGTCGAGTGATCAACAAATGGTTGGTTGGTTAAGTAAACTAGAGAGTAACTAAATTAAACTAAGTGATTGAATGTAACAAGAGTAAGCAAGAAAGACAGAGAGATCTTGGGGTTTAGAGGTCACCACCAAGCAATGCTTTTCTACACTTCCAACTAGTGATTTGATAAACGCCGAATATTGCATATTCAGACACCCTTATTTGCGTTAGTTAAGTCCATTATTTGATTATTTTATATAGATTATCTTCATTTGTATGTTTTTTTTTTTAATATTTTCAGGTTTGTTTCCCAAAAAGGAATAAAAATGATGTTTTGATGAGTTCTTGAATATCAAAGTGTGCAATGCTGAAGTTTACAGCTTGGCAGCAGTGGAGTTCGACTTTGCTCGTCAGTTTTGACCTAACAAACTTGAGAATTGGACTTCTATTAAAACATAGAATACTTAGATCATTGAATTAGCTTTCCAAATCATCAAACGGTTCATCATTTGGAGTTCAGAGCAGGGAGTTATGGCCTTTTTACCAAAGGTGCGCAGAGCTGAGGAACATCCGCGGGCGCCCGCGAGAAACCAGCGGGCACCCGCCAAAACGGGCAGCGAGCTCGTGCGCCCGCGGGTGCCAGCCAGTGCACCGCGGGCCCCCGCCGATCTGCAAGTAGCAGACCACCTACCCCTGTTTTTGGGCTGCATTTTGTCCCCTATGCATTTTGTGTGGTCATGATGGCTTCTAGGGAGTTGGAGCTCGGGATTGTGTGGTTAAAAAGAGGATTTTGTCAAGATAAGAGGGGGGAGACCATGTATATGGATATCTCTCATTTTTTTTTAAGGTTCTAGAGAGAGAAAGGAGTGTTCTTGAGTTCTTGGCTTGTGGGTGTCCTCTAAGCACGAAAATGGAGGGGGTTTTCATCTCTTCTCCTTCTTCTCTTGCATCCATGAGCAACTAACTCCCTATCCTAGGGAGATGATGAAACCATTCTTTTGTAAGCATGCTATAATCTTGTTTTGATTTGGGGAATGAAGTGTTTATGTAATCTTTTCATATTCTAGAGACTTACACATGTTCTTCAATTCAATAAATGATTGTGTTAAATGTATTATCTTATCTTAGATTGTATATTTTCATGATTATAGGGCTTACATCTCCTTAGTGAGAATGGAGATGAGAATATGAAATGGTTTTAATGGCATGTTGTATGGAAGATTTGATAGACCATAGCTTAGGGTCTCCCTTTTGATGGATTATTTTTAGCTTTTGACTTCATGTGCACTTATCACACAAATTAAGGACTTTGATGGTTCATAGCTTAGGAAGGATATTTCATGTTATACCTTAGTTTAGATAGATAAATTATATTAACCTTTGATAGATTATACTTAATTCTTGAATGTGTGAACTTCTTGAAGATATTGTAGTTGTCTTGCATTTCTACATATCATGGTTACATATATATTTTGTCCCCCAAGTTATTTGCAAGCAAGCATGTTTATATAGTTGATGGTGAATTCACTTTCTTAGACCTCTCTTTCTAGATTTCTTCCTCTTAAATTCCTTGCATTAATCCAATCAAACTCTATACACCTTCATCATTTTTAAAGTGATTTTAGACACCTTGGTTGCCATAAACTAGCAATCCTAGTGGTTCGACTTACCCAACCAATAGCCTTATTTTACAATGATTTGTGCTATTGCAAAATGGGTTGATTTATAATTGTAATCGATCTGTCGATCAATTTTTAGCACCGTTGCAGGGGATTGCAAACGGTTTTGTGACCGAGGTTTTAAAAATTACTTTTGGTTTGATTGTGAATATTGTGTTTTGTGGATATTTTCTTGTTCGGTTTTGATTATTGTTGTGTTTTAAGTGTTTTAGTGAGATTCTAGGTACCCAAGGCTTGCCGAGGGAAAATTGAGAAAATCGTAAGTCTAGAGGACTCCCGGTAAGTTTTTCAAGGTTCTAGTCTCACAAATTGTGAATATCTTGCATGTGTTTAACTTAGTGTTATTTAGCTTGTGAAGCCCTTGTCGAAGCTATTCCTGTTTTACTGTTTTACAAAGTATCGGTCCTTGTCGTGGCCATTTATTTTTTATCATATTGATAATTGAGGAGAAAGGGATCATTGCATGTGGATGTTTTGGTGAAGGGTTGTTGTGTATCTTGTTTGTGTTGTATATATTTTGTGTGAATTTAACTTAATGTATCTAAACAAATGGCTGAATTAGTCCTAAATGGAGGGTAATTATCTTCCAACTCAATTTTACATACCAC